GCATCATGGTTAGGTCGGTTATTTATCAGACAGCCCTCGTATATACCTTGCAGTCATCAAATATGTCGATCAAAATGCATAAATACTAAGGAACATCGAAGCTATGACGATTTTTCTATAAATTTTCCATATTTTTGACTATTGTTCATTTGATAGATTTTGATAATATTTAATCCGAAATTCAATAGTTAGAAAACGCTATCTAAATGCAATCAAGTCGATCTGATTAAAAACAACGGCGGAAGAATTTTTTATTTCATTCTCTCGTATGAGAGCTATCCGATATAGTCCGCTCCAACTTATATACTGCGTGCAATAACTAGACAACTTTTGGTAAAGTTTCAGAAAGATAGCTTCAAAACTGAGAGACTAGTTTGAAGAGAAAGGGACAGACGCACAGACGTACTTCGATTCAGATGGTGATGTTGATCAAGAATATATAAGTGACTTATACCAAAGACTATAGAATATCAAGATGTTGCATGACCTCAAAAAAATCGTTCTATGGTGGGTCTTGATATGGAGACCCACATGACTTTGCACTTTTAAAGGCAGCTAAGACCATATACTCAATTAGTTCGCCGCGCTTCATGAAGCCCGGTGGTGTTGTGGTAGGTGCTATGCCTCGTGTACATGAAGGCCCGGGTTCGTATCCCCGCCGAGCCCCCAGCCATATCATAAATTGTTTTTTTTTTCTTTTTTTTTGTGTAAATTAATTAATTATTTTATTTTTACATTTTTTTTTCAATTTTTTGCTTTTATAATTTTTTTGCGTTCATGCAAGTGGTGAACAGCCTGATACAATTATACAAGGTAGTCCACTCGGCAAAATCCATAGTCCCCTTATTTAACTTTGTCAAGTAAGTGTGAGTGAAACGGCTACATTGTGCTTCAGTTTGACAAGCAGGCACGCACTGAAAATAAGGGACAAAAACCGAACGACTTCGGCAAGCCGAGTGGACTACCTTGTATAATTGTATCATGGTGAGCAGCAAAATACCCTAACACGCGTATGTACATTCGCATGTGTGAAAATTTAACGACACAATTATCTGAATAAGGAACATTATTAATATTGCACCAAAGAATTCTTTAATTTAATTATTATAAACGAAAAATTATGATTTAAATGAAAATTAAAGAAAATAAAATATTAATGCTTTACAAATCTGATATACCCTTCTACTATTGTAAAGTGTATAAAGCCCGATAAACTGAAAATTGTCAGCTATGAACAAATTCCCACTTTGGGAACACGACGAATATTAAAAACGAAGACGAAAGCCGAAAGCAGCAGTTCGTCGTGTTTCTATTTTTAGATTTTCCCTTTTCACCCCGACCGACCGCATCATGAAGCTCGAAACAGAAACGAAAAATTTTTTGTATGGGATGCAACATCTTGATATTCTATAGTCTTTGCTTATACGTAAATCCAGTTACTAATAACATGAGTCCAAAGCCTACTATAGACGTATACGCAAATGCCCTAGCTACCAAACCCAACATACAACTTGTATACCCATTATTCCAATTGTCAATAACATAAGTCCAGAGCCTACTATTGCAGTTATTCAAATCAATCCCGACATAAACATTTAATTCGTCAGACATAAATATTTCCCACGCCTTCGATCGGCGCCACCTGAATTGTAAACACTTCAAAAGCCTTTATCGACGTCAGCAGACATAAACAATATTCAGAACTCTAAACAAAGGGTCCAGCCTGAGAACCCATTCGTCAGCATAAAATCTTTGGCCAATCCAAATTAATTAAACAAAAGATGCAGCCTAGAAACTATTTTATCAGGCCACATAAAAATTCTCTAATCAAAATCCACTTTCGCTGCCCGCGTCGCTGTCACCGGTAGAAGCCATAGTTATAAGAATAATGCATTTTGTAAAATCAGTTTAAGATTGGGGATCTAACTCGTAAGAACTTTATCAATAAATAACTCCACTGTATATTAAAAAGAAAATCGCATTTTTTTAATATATCCCGAAGTGAAAAACCTAATTTATATACTTAATGGGGTCTAAGGTGTCTCCTTCACTGCGTTGCAAACTTCTGACTGAAGATCGCTGGCCGCCCTCGACACATAACAATTTGTGAATGTGGGTAGGTGGCCGTCGTTAGCCACACTGTGTCACTGAGTAATACCAGTCGATAAGGAAGACGAGAGGGAACTGTCGTCTTTTAACTACTAGCCTTAAGCTGAGTAGAGTAATGATAACATTTAACGACGGCCGTCGGAGTATTGCTTATGAGCGGTGGCTCTTTATTCGTGCAAGTTAAAAACAGAATTGAATACAATTCTTTTACTTGAAGCTGACATAAGTCGAAAAATCATAGCGGCCACGCAAATATGCTGTGTTTGCCGGCTTTGCACGAGCATCCGACTTTGTCTAGTTAACTTCAGTTAACTTATATTTCTATACTCTAGAATTAATTCAGTAGATCGTTTTTTATATCGATCGATTAGCGCACAAGGGCCTTCTCTGTTTTTCCTATTCGCAGTAGATAACCCCACACTTAAGTCATCTAACAAGGGTATTAAACAGAACACGTCTACAACGAAACAAATCCATGCGACGTATGGGAGTCGTGAGCAAGAAACTCTCATTTTTATTTGACGAAAAAAGGATATTATTTATTACGATCAAATCGAAAAACTAATTATGAAATAATTCTGGTTTCATCACGGTCATCGTTGGAATTCAGGGTAGCTTTGACTGAGGACTTTTGCTTTCATAGAAAATTTATTTTCAAGTTCTGGCTTTTAAAAGAAAGAATGTTATGTATTTTTCAATTTATCTGTTTATATTCTTTTTTATTTATACTCTGCTTTTAGGAAAATGAAGAACCCCACCCGACCCTTAAAAGTAAAAATAGAAGGTTTTAAAAGCCCAAAAAAGAGCTGTATTTGTGTGTTTTTTAAGTTAAGTTTTTTTTTAAGTTTTTTAAGATATTAAATTTAAAAGTTAAGTTAAAATACATATTATTGTTCAACTTTTGAAAAGTAATAGGAAAAAATTGTAATGAAAAATATTTAGAAATAAGCCTGTGATGCTTCACCTTCAGAAGCGCCTAGAAAAAAAAGTTGTTTGGCGGTAAACATCATAACTCGTTAACGGATAATCTTAACAAAAAACAAGAAAGGAAGCTCGCTTCGGCAAGCCGAAGCTTATATACCCTTGCAGTCATCAAATACGTCGAACAAAATGCATAAAGGTTAAACAACATTGAAGCTATAAGGATTTTTCTATTCATTTTCCATATTTTCGACTATAGATCATATGGGAGCTATATGATATAGTTGTCCGATTTCGATCAAATTTAATTCGTAATTCAAGGATCGTAAGAAAACTCTATATTCCAAAAACCATACTTGTCTGATGAAAAACAACGATGTTATAGTTTTATTTCCGTTATTTCTATATATCGGGTGTTTTTTTTTAGAGGTATAGAACTTTAAGTTGCAATAAAACCACGATGGTTCCACCAGATTATTCGATTGACATGAATTTTTTTTATTCCAAAGATAATCTTGTGGCAATTCATTTTATTTATGATTTCTGGCATATGACCGCCATGATGATCATATTCGCGCAAACACCGCACCAAACTGTAACTTTTTGGTCGTAAAGTGGCTGTTCTTCGATTAATTGAGGATTTTCGGTGCGTACAAAGACTTAATTGGGTTTTTAACTGGAGCACTTTTAACTTTATTCATTTTACGAAGCGCACGTTGGGTTAACACAATTGAGAATTTATTTTCAATGTAGAGCTGAACAATTTGAGCGCGTTCCTTTGGAGTGTATTGTTCCATGGTATCAATTGTCTTCGACTGACGCTTCCAACGTGGTATGACATTTGACGATCTGTCGACGCTGTCAAAAGTTGCAGGGTTGCCGAATGGGTCAAATTTAAATGGCCCACCCTGTAGTTGTCCGATTTTTTGAAACTTTTTTCTCCGTTTAAGAGTTGTTAAAAAACTTGATATTCAAAAAATCATGATCGTGGGATAAAAAACAACGATGTTATAAATTTATTTCCATTAATTCTATATATATTTTTCGAACTCTCCCATGGCAGCTATATGATAGAATTATCCGATTTTGATCAAATTTAATCCGAAATTCAATAACAGTTCAAATAACGCCATCTTGAAGAAATCAAGTCGATCTGATCAAAAACAACGGCGTCAGAATTTTTAATTTCATTCTCTCCTATGGGAGCTATCCGATATAGTCGGCCGATCCGGCCCGTTCCGACTTATATACTGCGTGCAATAACTACACACCTTTTGGGAAAGTTTCAGCAAGATAGCTTTAGAACTGAGAAACTAGTTTGCTGAGGTGTCTCCTTTACTGCGTTGCAAACTTCTGACTGAAATTATAATACCCTTTTGCTCTGCAAGGGTATAAAAAATGATATGCGTCTTAAAGGTAATATATTTCTCGAGGTAATCAGGAAGTTTTTAAAAAAATTATTTTGTTTATTTTTTGGAGCACTTGAAAGTGAAAAGTACGATCTTAGCACAAACAGCGATTTTTTGCTTTCAAAAATAGAAAAAAATTAAAAATAAAAAAACCGCTTCCTGATTACCTGCGTATTTATGTGGAGAATTTGTGTTAAAAATTTAAAAAGGATCGGTTCAGTAGATTTTGAGTTCTGATGTTCACCGACTTTCAAAATAACGTTTTCGGGGAAATCTATTCAAGGTATTTTTATACGTCAAAATACGTCCAAATTCGGTCGTTTAAAACGCTGAACGTAACTTCGTTAGTTTGAATCTAATTGACTCAAAATTTGTACACAATATTCTCGAGATATTGGTCTGTAAAACAAAAAACAAATCAATGCAAAAAAAAAAATTTTTAAATCTTTCCAACCTAGACAATAAAGTTCAAAGGTTACACTTTATTAAAATACAAAAATATTAAAAAAAAATAAACAGAAATAATATATTTTTAAAACAACATTTTTCAACTTTGCACAGAGATAAATCTAGCTGACAAGACGCAAACAAATATTGAGGCAAATTATTTGAATATAATTAACTTGGATTAGCAAGAAGGAAAAATCAAGCTAACCTTAAATCTTGATCACGAGCAACGGTCTTCCATGTGCCATATTATCGTCTGAAGACTGTTAAGTGAAAACGAACTATTGAAATGGAAGACTCGGTGTCAAATTTATCAAACAAAATTGATCGATGCTTAAGTGTGGATAATGCATTTTTTGAAAAGTGTCCCAGCAACATTTCCGGCGAACCGGTTCAACAAAATACCGCATCAAAACATCAATTAATAGAAAGTCGTCCTATATATCCAAATGTTCCATACAGCCCATACAGTAGCCCTTTTGGTAGTCCTCGATCCAATCGACGCCGACCGACTTTTCGAGAGTGCAGAACAATCTCGATTGAAAAATCTGGAAGTTTTCTTCAATTAAACCAATACAAATTAATGGAGCAAATTGGTCAGGTAAGATAAAATAAAATACATTTTTTCCTTAACATTAAAGTAACATTACCGTAAGCACTTCTGTCCAAAATCACAAACCAAACTTATTTTTAAAATATTTCGTGGAAATCTATAAATGCGCAATGGAATTTCTTGTTTTGTTCTACTTTTGCTGTAAGATTACCGTACAAAGCAAAAATACCTTTTCAAGACATTCTGCCAGATAGATAGTGTTTGTGGAAAAGATAACCCAAAATGCCATCCATAAATGCACAATATGTTTATTTAAATGTATGCCGTGTTCGCTTCAAAATTTGTTGGTTTCAAAATTTAAATGTGCATAAGCCTAGAATGTAGCTTAACTGCATATTTTACGCGACCCAAGCGATATAAAATATGCAATGAGTAGTAGTACTAACTAAGGCGCGAACGCATCTTTTACACCACCGTCGGTCAGTTCAGCCTCCATGAGACCACCTCGAACAACGGTCTCAGGCTGATTGACTTCGCCGCGGCGCGAAACATGGTAGTGAGTAGCACCAGATTTCGGCACCTCGACAAAGACGCGCAACCAGATTGATCACGTTGTGATAGACGGAAGGCATGCCTCAAGTGTGATGGACGTGCGTACGTTTCGTGGAGTCAACATTGACTCGGACCACTATCTTGTCGCAGCCAAGTTACGCATGCGGCTATGCCGAGCGAAAAACATACGCCCCATTACGCAACGAAAGCTTGACGTCACTAGGCTGCGATCACAACGGACAGCAATGGCCTACTCCACTCACCTCTCGGAACTGCTCCACCAACCTATCCCTCTCCCTGTTGACGCCGGCGGACTCTGGGCGCACATATCCCACTCCATGCGAGCTGCTGCTGAAACAACCATTGGGTTCAAGCGCCCACCCACACGGGACCAATGGTATGACGAGGAGTGTCGCGTCGCAGCTGCAGCAAAAAACGCCGCCCACAGAAAAACGCTGCAGTCTGGCGCAACGCGAGCTACGTGTGAACGTTACAGGGAGAAAAGGAAGGAAGAGAGGCGACTTTTCAGACGGAAAAAACGGGAGCAAGAAAAGCGAGAGTGCGAGGAACTTGAGGTGTTACGAGACAGCAATGATGTTTGAAAATTCTACCAACAAGTCAACTGACACAAGGTTTCAAGACCGGAGCATCTAACTGTCGGGATGAAAATGGAAATCTGGTTACGGATACGCAGTGCACGCTGAGGTTATGGAGGGAGCATTTCTCCAAGCTGCTAGCAGGCGATGACGGCACCAATCCCGCCATTGGAGGAAGCAGCCCGATACCATCAATCGACGACAATGTGGATATACTACTACCTACCCATGACGAGGTCCGAGTTGCTATAACGCGGCTCAAAAACATCAAAGCAGCCGGTGCTGATGGACTGCCTGCAGAGTTGTTCAAGGCCGGCGGCGAAGAGCTGACAAGGTGCATGCATCAGCTCTTGTGCAAAATATGGCTAGAAGAAAGCATGCCCAACGATCGGAATCTCAGCGTCCTTTGTCCTGTACTGAAGAAAGGTGACCCGACGATATGCGCCAACTACCGGGGAATCAGCCTGATTACCATCTCATACAAGGTCCTATCGAGCGTAATATGTGAACGACTGAAGCTGATTGGACCTTATCAGTGCGGCTTCAGACCTGGTAAGTCCACCATAGACCAGATCTTCACATTACGCCAAATCCTGGAAAAAACCCACGAGAATAACATCGACACACACCATCTCTTTGTCGATTATAAAGCTGCATTCGATAGCCCGACGAGGGAACGCCTATATGCCACCATGTCTGAGTTCGGTATTCCTGCAAAGCTAATACGGCTTTGCAGAATGATATTGAGCAGTACCATCAGCTCTGTCAAGGTAGGAACGAACCTCTCCGAACCTTTTAATACCGTTCGAGGTTTCAGACAAGGCGACCCCCTGTCGTGCGATCTCTTCAACTTCGAGATGGAAGGGGTACTGCGGAAAGCCGGTGTACATCGATCTGGCACTATTTTTTATAAAAGTGTCCAGCTCCTTGCGTATGCCGATGATATTGACATCATTGGCCGCAGAAAGCGTGATGTCACTGCTGCATTTTCGGCTATCGAAAAAGAGTCGGCAAAAAGAGTCGCGGCGCCTAGACGTGGTAGCGGACGAGGTAGCGGACAGCTATACCTTCGAAGTGGTCAAGGAGTTCACGTACCTTGGCACTGCCATTAACACCGAAAATGACGTCAGCCTGGAGATCAAGCGAAGAATCACACTTGCCAATAGGTGCTACTTTGGTCTGAGTAAGCAAATGTGCAATAGAGACTTCTCTCGCCGAACAAAACTAACACTCTACAAGACACTCATCCTACCCGTGCTTTTATATGGCGCAGAAGCATGGGTAATATCACTGACGGATACAGCAGCGCTTGGAGTGTTCGAGAGAAAAATTCTTCGCAAGATCTTTGGTCCCGTTCGGATTGGGGACGACTTTCGCATTCGGATGAACCACGAGCTGTACGAGTTGTACGACGACGAGGACGTGGTCCGGCGCATCACGATGCGCTGGCTCGGCCACGTTGTGCGTATGGATAAAGAATCTCCAGCTCAGAAATTGTTTGAAGCGAGGGTCGACTACGGGCGACGACGAAGGGGACGACCAAAGCTCCGATGGAAGGACCAAGTGGAGGAGAACCTGACTGCACTGGGAATTTCCGATTGGAGGAGGCGCGCGAGGAGCAGAGGCGCCTGGAGGGAGACGCTGAGGTCGGCCAAAACCCGAATCGGGTTGTAGTGCCACCTAATGAATGAATGAGTAGTACTAACGGTCTGAATGGTCATAGAATGGTTAATTTGCAGACGGCTCTCTTCCTTATACCCTTAGTTGAACAGACCATTGCTACTCTGTCTGATGCCATCCTTACCGGGAATGACTCCTTAGACGAACCCAAGCTGCCCTTTCAAAGGTCGAATGATGTCCTCCTTCAGCAACATGAGGCTTCCGAGCTCGATATTTGCTGCTTCGAAGCGCAACTAGCTCCTTTGTTGGAGTAGGGATAAATAAGAGATTTCTTCCATAAGTGTTCTTGCATCTGGGTCACTTCTCGCCATCTGCTGAGACGGCCTTCGCGGAGAGGAGTTACGCTCGACTTAGGAAATATTGCTAAGCTGATAGATGCTGAGAAATGCTTGCGCCGGCAATAGCACCTTAAGACTTTTTGCTTTTTTGAAACAAAAAGTTCTCTGCAGAAGAGAAACTTTCCGACTTGACAACAGTCTCCCATAAACCACTGAAGGGTGGAGCACAAGAAGGTATGAAGGTATGCTGGACGAATGCGGTGCCTTATTCCGTGTGTGTAAATGGGCTGCTCTCTACTTGACGCAGAGTAGATAAGCTTTTGTGGTTTCACCGTTATTCGGTGCATTATTATCCGCAAGCATCGCAGAATTCATATAACTAGATAGCCTATGGTAGCATTACGGTTTGTGAAAATTTTAATTTTTAAGGGTTAACAACTTTGATGTCGACTTTCTCCATAACGGAGGAATGGGCTCTGGCTCATTAGTAAGCTGCTCTTTATCACACTCAGACTTTTCCTCGCGGGCACTTAACTCGTTCGAACACCACTTGCCAATTGGAAAGTGACCTTGCGTCAAGTAAATCCCTTACCTGGATAAAAATAACTTTGTCTTATTCAGTTGAATCGCCACCATCATCATGAATCATTTACATTCGCTCTCTTGACTTTCAAGGCGAACGGTCGTGTTTATTTGTGCGCTCCGAATTTTTATTTGTTGTTGCTAAAGCCGCCGGTGGTTTTAAATCAATTTGTTAAAATTTCGCCTTTTAAACCAATAAACTTTTAAACTTCGTTCGCTTCGCGAGTGAATCTGTTTTTGACTGGGTTTTATTTTTATGAATAAACTAGCGGACCCGGCGAACTTTTTCTCGCCCCAATTTCACGATTTCATTCAAATTTTTTGTGAAATTTTTTTGACTCGAAACCTTTGGAGAGCGATGTGATAAACAATATTTTTTGTTTTGTTATCCGGTACAAAAATAAATAATGATGACGACTTTCCGACACGCGAACAGGCTACGTATAACTGTCCATGTGAAAAACATTGATATTCCAGATTTATTCCGCAGACTTCCAACGACTGGCCTTGCGATTTATTGATTGTCATCGCAAATGCCAATCGAACTGGGAACTGAATCCTCTTAAATTGGAATGGAATTTCTGTTGGAACAATCGGAATTCTTGGGATAAGAACTTCCTCTCCTTTAAATTTACCCTTGATGATCGTCGCTAGAATCACGTTGTTCATTAGTTTCTTAAAGGACAACCGCGTACCGTTGCATAATCTCGGATGATTTAGATTCCGCAGCATTATAATAACTGATCCCACCTTCAGTTGCAAATTATGCGGCGGAGTTCCTGGCACATCCAGTGAGTTTAAAAATTCTGTCGGATAGTTGGTCGCTTCATCCTCTATTATTTTGTCGGGCTTGAGGTGGGGTTTGTGCAGCGCGAAGCTGTGCCATTCGGGCACGTGTCGATGCATTTATTTCTGCACGTTCCTTTTGCGTCCGACTATTACGGAAATTCTAACTATTTATTACATTGCGCGAACGCCGTCCAAGTCTTAATCGTCTAACAGCAGGCATTATTTCCAATTGTTTAAGCTCACTCAAATTTTTTTTGTTTAAATATTTTTTTATCGAGTTCATCGATACACAATATCAACGCAGCTATGATCTTTTTTTTACATACAACATTGTGTACATCTGTTGAGCCGCTAGCGACTTTTCCAGAAGGTTTTCCAAAAATTTTCTTATGCTATAACCTTCTTCTGGTTCTAAGCTATCTCCATACCAATTTTCAGCAAAATCGGTCAAGCCGTTTTCATGTGATGCGATTGCGCACATTTTTTGTCTCCATTTTTATATATATAGATATTAATTTTTCTTGTGCTTTTTGTTTTTTTGATCTGTGTCTTGCATTTCTACTCTATCCGC